ATATTTTTATATTTAAATATATGCATTATAAGGCCAAAAGTATGTGGCCATATAATGTAAAATCATTGCTTTCAGGTGTTTCAGCCACACCCTCTGCTAACAGACATACAAAATCAAGCACATAGGCATGCAGTCTCCATAGACAAACCCTGGCAGTTGAATGGATCGTAAAGAAGAGCTCATTGACTTTAAGCATGGCACTGCCACCTTTGCCAGTTTGTGAAATTTCTGCCCTGGTGAACTGTAAGTGCTATTATTTTTTAAATGGAAGCCTCTAGGAGTAACAACAGCTCAGCCACGAAGCAGTTCACTATGCAAAGTCACAGAGCGAAGCCACAGAGTGCTGAAGTGCATAGTGTGGAAAAAATCACCCACCATTCAGTACAGAGTTCCAAACTGTCTCTAGAAGCAACACCAGCACAACAGCTGTGCAGGAGGAGCTTCACGGGTGTATTGAGTTTCTATGGCTGAGCAGCTGCACACTAAGATCACTATGCGCAATGCAGAGCTGGAGCTGTGTAAAGAATGCCACCACTGGACTCTAGAGCAGTGAAAAGATGTTCTCTGGAGAGATGAATCTTGCTTCACTATATGGTAGTCTGATGGACAAAGCTGGGTTTGGCGGGTGACAGGAGAACGCTAACCAACAGAATGCATAGTGCCATAAAGCTCCATAGACATGGTTTGACGAGTTTAGTGTGTAGGAACTCCAGTGGCCTGCACAGAGTCCTGACCTCAACCCCACTGAGCACCTTTGGGATGAATTGGAACGTTGATTGCGAGCCAGGCCTTCTCATCCAACCTCAGTGCCTGACCTTACAAATGCTCTTTTGACTGAGTGTGCACAAATTCCTACTAACACACTTGTTATCTCGCACTTGGTGTGCGTTCCACTGTTGAATCTCACCATGTGACATGACACAATCGTTGAATCCCACACATTTCAACAGAATGATTAGTTGTCACTAAACTGATTTGCATCTAGAACGAGAGAGCAGAGAGATGGTGTGTCTGTGGTTTGACATGTCAGCCATATGTCTATACTGCCATCTCTCGCCTTATTGTAACACATTAACATGTCCTGTTTGATGTAAATTAGCAAAAAATCAAATGGAAAAAGTCCATCATTTTAAAAATAATTTTAAACAAACATTTTAACAAAGTTTCAACCTGCTTCTGTTATTTCTTTTAGTGAATTATCAGCCCAGCATTATTCAACTGGAAATTAGTTGCTGTTCTTTTTTCTCTCCTGGGCAAAAACAGAGAGGTTTGTGGTCAAGCAGCCGCACTCTCTTGTCCTCTCTCTACTGCGTTGATCTCCATTATAATCCACAAAAGACCCAAAATAGCCCGCGCATGGTGCTGCGTCAGCAAAGCTCAGACCTAGCACAAACGGAAGCTGTTTCAGCACGCCAGCTCTATCAGCACTAAACTGCGAGCACTCAATTAGCCCCCACACGCACACGCTGTCCGAGTCTTTCTCAGATTGTTCTGTCTGATGGCCCCAGAGATTTGGTCCCTTATTTATGGGGAAATGAAAAAGACCATGGCTGTGTACTTGAAAAGGCAAACTTTATTTATAATGTACATGCTGTCTATTTTCAGGCACGCATTAAGCACTTATTTACAAAAAGCGAGTCGTCAGCAGGCCTCCATGTTTTTTTGTTTTTGTTTGTTTGTTTTTTGTTTTTTTTCCCCAGGACAGGCTGAGATGCCTGGAATAAACTCTATAAATAATATTATAAAATATTAGGGGGCCCTAAAGGTGGAAGAAGGAATTATCAGTTTGGATAAAGTAACAATGTTGGAGGATCTCTGGATTCACTGTTTTCCCCCCCCCCCTTACAAATAATTACATTTTAAAAATACATATTCAAGGGTCCAAAGCATCTCCATATATGGCTTACAGGTAGAAACGGCTCTGCTCTTTTAGATTAAAGCTGACTGATAGTGATGATCCTAAAGCACCTTTAACAAGTACCATTTTCACAACTGCGTCACTTACAGCTCATGTTTTTTAGTGTTTTTGGTAACTTTATTTGGGGTGGTTGTTTGTAGATGATTAATAAACCCTTAACAGATTATCAGTTACACATCAACAACATATCAGTGATGTAGCAATAGTGAAGCATCTGAATACATTAAATATCTTGTAGATGTGCTGTTTATACATTAACAATACATCTACTTAATTTAAGTAATGTTACTTTCATTACGCAAAACCTTACCCAACCTTACCCAGAACCCGACCCTAACCCTGGCCCTAATCCTAACCCTAACCCTCATATGTTTTTGACGTGTTACTGAGAGTCTGTTGAGTGCTTGTTTAATCTATAAAGGACCTCTCCATTTTTTTTTTTTTTGTGTAAGTTTAATGACTTTTCCTTCTTTTCTTTTGTTTCTTCTGTCTTGCCCTCTTTTTCTTGTTCTCCTTCTTTGTTGTTGTTGTCTGTCCCTGACACACACCCACTCCAACACAGTGGTACCAGCAAAAATTTCCAAAATTAGTTTAAAACCTGCCCACCAGAAGCTTACGCTAGCCCAAAAATTGTCCAAATGTAAATGTTTGAAGAAACAGGAAAAAAAAACCTACTAATTATAAAGGTCTAAAAAAGTGTAATTAAAAAAAATTCTCTTATCAACTTGTATTACTCATGAATGCTTGTAAAAGCATTCGTTTGATTAACAGTTAGCAATGTCGATTTACCAAGATCTCTTTTGCTATATTGCATGCGTGTCCACCTTTATAATGAGCTTTGTAAATTTATATTGGTCAGGATGTAGTCTGGCTGTTGATGTACGCTCCACCAAACATGCCGCTCATTCTTCTGCCGCTTCTCTCCTGCACATGCCTATCTGCTCTTAGGGTGCCAGCTATTCACAACACCTATGAATGAAAATTCATATGATGAATTTTCATTTTTTTACTCTCTGAAGTGTATCAGGCTTTTTAGTGGCCAGTGGTAAAATTAGGAAGTAGCCCAAAAAATACCCTGCAAACGAATAATTTTCACTTGCGATGGCTTTTACAAACCAGCCCAATGTGGCGGGAAAACTGCAAGCCTGGCTCACACATACATACACCTTAGCAAGTCTCAGGCCACATTTTAACTTCCTACCTCACTCTCTCCTCTCGTCTGTGGGTAATTAGCAGTGTTCCACTTGATGAGATTAAAGCAAGGGATTAATCAAAGAACTAATTGATAGACACGACCACAGAGAGCGCCGTTCTCCCACATCGCTCTCGGTCTCGCACATCCACACACACTCACTCTCTACCGTTACCTTGAAGTGTGGAGATGAAGCACAATTGACATTGTTGGTCCTCCCAGGTTTCTTCCATTAGTCTAAGAGAGAGAGGCATGTTGATAAAGTCTCCTCTACATAACTAAGGTCTACCAAGTTATGACTGTAATTAAAAATGCAAATGAATCTCTACAGAAAGAGCAGAAATTAGGAAAGAAAACAAGATTACAAGATGCCCTGCCACCTGAAATTTTTGACAGCAAAAAGCCCCATTTTTCTCTTGATTTGCTAAACGAATGGAACCAGTTAAGCTCCCTGCTGCAGTTCCTGCAGGGAACACTTACGGCTCCGTCCCCTTTTCTTCTTTCCTCCCCTTTGATTTCCTAGTTATTCTGGTCTCCAGCTCGCAGTCCCTCTGCAGGGCCTTCATCATCAGTGGCAGGCCTGCTGCTTTAATGATGATGAATGCCCTCGGAGAGGACTGAGCTTTCACTTGGTCAGGTCACTGGCCTAGTCTCTCACGGCTCATTTTAAATACATGCTGATAAGTCAGGAAATATTCTGCAGCAGGAAGTTAAAGATATGTCACTGGTGGAGAGAGTGAATGAGTGGGTGGCCACTTTACAGCTTTTTCTTACAGGTTTTCAGCACACATACCTGAAAGGTGCAGCTGAGTTTGTACAATGTTAATACCATTGTGAAAATGTAGAAAATACTCTGTAATTGTCTCCATTTCTGGGCTGATAATGATAACTGTTAAAATTCTCATATTGTCAAATTCATGAAATTCATGGATTAATTTTACATGGTCATAACTAAATCAAGTCTGACAGTTACTGCAATTACATCTACATTATTGTGTGTAAATATTTCACATTATTAGCAGCCACTCGGTAGGTAGATGTAGCGGTAGAGGTTTTTCCCAGGGACTCTTTTTTCCACTGCACAAAGTACCACAACTTCAACAGCAGAAACCTGGAACTGTGCTAAGACTAAGACCTACCACTAAGAACTATTACGTTACCAAAATTATTGTTTGCTATTTTTAGAATTTAAATTTTTGTAAAGAGTCCACAGAGGTGACATAAACTAGTTAGGAAGGTAGTGCTAACACTATTAGTATTTACACTAGCTAGTAATGTAGCTAATTAGCCAAATTAGAAACTTTTACAATTACACTGTAAATTAGACACTTAACAGTTACATGGTTTTGTGATGGTTCCAGCTGTCTCAAGCAGGTGAAACATAAACTACAGAATCTTAAGTTCTGTTGGTTCCTGTTTGGTTCTGTTGTTGTTTTTGAATGTGCGGTGGAAAAAACCCTTATTGGTGCAGCAGTACTACTCCTGTCTGGTGAGGGAATAGAACCCTCTCTGTACTATGTGTATGTACCTTTTATCCAATTGAATGAGCTGAAAGGAATATAAATTCCCAGCAGTATTGACTCCATGTGCGTCACTGTATGGGAGAACTAAAAATAAGGTGCTAAATTATTGGTTGTAATTACAGGCTGTTTCCATTATTGGACCGATAATGATTAAATTAAATTTTCCATTTTATTGTTGCTGATATATTGTGCATCCCTAGTTTTAAAATGAATCAGTCCAGATCATCAGTTGTTTGGTTGTTTGTTTGTGTGTGTGTGTGTGTGTGTGTGTGTGTGTGTGTGTGTGTGTGATTGTGCTCAGCACTAACTGTAAAAGGGTAAAGACAGGAGGGTCATATTTGTGGAGTATGACACTAAACTACTCCACTTCTGCAAAACAGTTCTTGTTTATTTTCTAAAGCACAAATCCAGTAGTCGTTTAGATGAATGAAAGGGTAACTGAGAAACACTGAACGTTTGAAGCAGGCATGGTGGTAGTCCTCCAGTCGCCATTTGTTCCCAGACTCTGGGACAGGACACAGAAAACAGGCTTTTCTCAGCAAGACAGAACTGAGCACACACTGCTCATATCAAAAGAACACGTATCAAAGCTTAGACTAAAACTTAGAAACTAATCAAGAAAAATCTGAAACCAAAAAACATAGAAAAGAGAATTTAAAAATCCTACAGAACAGACAGACAACATACATACTTGCAAACACACATGCGCATGTGCATATGCACACGCGCATACGGACGCACTTAAAACCACTGGGCCAAATACAGTGTCATTCAGCCCAGTAAGGACCTTGAGAGCAGCAAATGTTTCAGGTTATACTTAAAAAAAATATGTATTTTACAGCATTTTCTCATTTTCCGAGTCTTTTTTTTTTGTTGTTCTTTACAGGTTATACTTGAACTGTATATTGTATATTCTTTGCCAACTACTTTTTTCACATTCTGACCACAAGGAACAAGTGCGATTGATTCGAGACACTGCTTTGAGAGAAATCATGCATGTATAATAGTCTAATCAACCTATAAACCTAGAAAAGGGGAATGTTCGAGACGAAATAAAAGCGTTCCTCCGTGACGCGGTCCTTTCAGTCCCATATTTGTTCAGCCAGTGCTTCAGCAGGTCTCTCTCTGTCTGCTCCACCATGCAGAGATTACCTCTACAAATCGGAAAGCAACACAAAACAAGGCAGGCAAGTGTCTGAGTAAAAAGGCATTCTCCATTTGTTTTTTGTTTCGTTTTTCATTCTTTAAAAAATTTTCAAAAGCTGTCGCACTTCATTAGGTGTGGTTGTCGCTTGGGGAATTGGTTGGTCTTGTAATTTAGACCACAGGTTTAGACTTCTTCACCACTCATACTTGTACGTCAGCTTCCAAAGAATCAGACTCTCCTCTTTTTTGTTTTTTTTTTATCACAAATGTCTGCCAAACGATCCTCCTGTTCTTTCTTCTTCTTTGTTGTAGATATTTTTTCTTCTGCACCAATAATGGGAGATGAAAGAAAACTGAATGTGGAAGGAGAGGGGCAGAGGGAACGAGGGAGCGTGCTGCGCGACGAGAAAGGAATTTAAAATGGCAACTGACCCTGAGGAGGAGTCCAGTACAAAAACACACCACGAAAGGCACTTGATCAACGACAGTGCTTCTGTTTCTAACGAAATTCAAGTCGAGAGAATGAAACAAGAGTTGGTGATTTTATACCACTCTTAAGTGATAGAGCAAAGAGACAGACAGAGAGAGAGAGAGAAAGAGAGAGAGAGCAGTCATTGTTTTCTGTTTCCAGAGCACATGGAGTACTTAGTCTCTCGTACCAGCGCTGTCTCAACTCTCCAAACAGCCTGAAGAGTGGGGAAAAAAAATAACCCTTACAGAGATAAACTTGCCCTAGCGGAGAACTGAAATGTCGGAGGAAAAACACACTGGCAGACTGCAGTAAGGGTCTGGAGCAGGCTGTAAATTTCTCTGACTCCCTATGGTTTGCAGATAGTCTTCCACAGGGATGCTCAATGTGGTCCTTGACTCGGTTCCTATGGCTCTTCAGTGTAATGTTCGAACCGAGCACTCTTCTCACTGCTCGTTTAGCCCCCGCCCCTCTCCTCGGTGCTCCGCCCTCAGTCTTCCTCCCCACCCCCGTAGAGGTCGGCCAGTTTTTTGAAGCGTGGCCCCCAGTCATTGAGGTAGTCGTAGTCCTGCTCTCCAGAGCTGGATGAGTCCAGTGAGCTGACTGAGCCAGCTGTGGAGCCGCTGCCTTCGTAGTCGAACACCAGCAGGGAATCATATGGGGGAGCCGTCGGGTCATTATCTGCTGCCCGCAGACCCTGCAGAGACAGAGGCAGATTTAAGCGTATTGGCCATGAAAAACTTTACTGCCGTGTTACCAGTCTTTGCCTTGCCTTCTAATTACGTGTTGTCAATAATTCCAAACCTCCAAAGTTTTTATGTGAACATCTCATGACCAACAGAAATGTTACAAAACTGCTTGGAATAAAATTTTGTTATGTTAAAAGAGAGTTTTTTCTTTTCCTGTAAAGATACAGTTCCGGATACAAAGTTTTGTTCTGACAGCAACAATACACTGTACAGACCTCATCATCATTGAATGTGTAGGATTACTTGGATTGTGGGGAAAAAAGTGCAACCAACATCTAAGACTGAACTTTGGAAGTGTACAAAAATATGAAAAACTAAGAAATGGCCATTTTGACTGGAAAATAAATAAATGAAGGGTGGTCTCTGACTTTTGCCCAGTACTGTATGTGCTTTGAAATTCTGCTGTATATTATACAATAATACTGTACTAAAGTATATTAAGTATATAATATTATTGTCATATTCCACTGAAGTGAATACTTCATATTACACCGAGGAGCGGATGTCTTCCAAATGAACCTCTGTTCTTTCTACAGAGGATGAGGTAGGCAGCATTAGTCCTGGATGTTTTTGATGTTTTCTCTGTTCTAACACACTTACTAAATCTATGTCGAATCAGCAGGGAACTCGCCAAACTGTACTGGACGCCTCCAGGACCAGAACCGAATACCCTTCTATGGTCTGTATGAACAATTTCCCATCCCAGTATAAAAATACAGTGAACAGCAAATGTTTGCAAAGCATCTCCATTCTTTCTTTTTGTCCTACAAATTACTGTGTTCTGTAGCTTTAGCCCTAAAGCCCATTTCACACTAGACACGGTAAAAGAGCTGCATGATGTGCGGCACAGTTGGTCCTTTGCTCCTATTTGGTCCTGCAGTGGTAACGTATGTGAAGCACAAAACTACGCTTTGCGTCTCTTTGACGCATGCTGGCATTTGCTAGGCAGAAACAGTAATAAAATGCAGTATTTATGCTATAATATACACTCTAGGCTAATAAACAAATCAGCAAATGTAGTTTTAATTTTTTGAACAAGGTGATAGTAATCACAATGTTGTGAATACACATGCATCTTTTTGTACATCACACAGTGAGAAAGGTAGCAACATCAAGGGAAGTCAGGTTTTTTGTTGCTGATCTTTTTATATCATGTACATTAAGTTTATTTAAGCAAAAAACTGACAATATAGAGACTTATATTACATGAAAATGTAATACATGCAAAGAGAAACTGCATCACATCCGGTGTGAAATAAGTGTCATTGCATCTAGTGTGAAATGAGCTTAAGCTGATGGTTTAAAGTAGAGGGACTGCAATGGACCTACATCAATAATAAACTCTCCAATGTCTCCAGGGTGAGGTAGAGTGGGTCGTACGGGGTACTGAGACTCAGGGATGATGGGTCTTTCGTCCACTCTCCTCACTCCCGCTGGCTTACTCATCATGTGGTCCAGGGTCTCGGGTTGCTGCAGCTGGCTCAGGTCATAGTCCTGGAAGGGGGAGTTAAAAGTGTGATAAGTAATGGTTTCATGTTTCACCTGTAGGGCTGATATTATGGACCTCCTGCTAGGCTACATGGCTTATCTTTTTGCTAGTGGCATGTGATGGGTGAAGTAGCAAGCCAAGACTCTGCTCCCATAGCAGAACTACAGTGCATTACAGTGATTGTTACTGAGATATGGACAAAAGTATTGGGACACCTACATGTTACACCTATAGAAGCTCTTATGACATCCCATTCTAAACCCATAGGCATTAATATGGAGTTGGTGCCCCCTTAACAGCTCTTCCACTCATCTGGGAAGCTTTTAAATAATACCACTCACTGTTGATCGTGGAATATCCAGAAGGGAAGAAATTTTGTGAACTGATTTGTTGCAACAGTGGCATCCTATTACAGCACCATGCTCAAATTCAGTAAGATCTTTAGAACAACCCACTCTTTCACAAATGTTTGTAAAGGCAGACTGCATGACATTATAGCCAACTAAAACACTCATGGATCCCACACAAAACTCTATCATTACTACTTCATTAGTCAGTTCTCTTTATTATTTAACAACTAGTTAATGACGTAATAGCCCAATGTCAAATCTATTAAATAAAAAACTGAATAATGTTATTAGTGACAGTATAGTCCTGTGCAAAAGTCAGAGACCCCCCTTCTTTTATTTCCAGTCAGAATGATTAAGTTATTGAATTTTTCAGTATCAGGAACATTAACAGACAATTACACAGAAGCCTCAACAACTAAATATATATTTTTTTCAGCATTTATTATGTCCATCCTTTATTACCATGCAAATCAACCCAGGTCTTGCATGGTTATGAGTTTTTTTTCTCTGTATCTTTTAATTAATTTTTTGACCTCCAGTTTTGGAAATTTTGCTTTGACCTTCCCCTGAAAGTAGATTATCGCTTTAGCTAATCTCTTTAGACTGGAAATCAAACAAATGAAGGGCGGTCTCTGACTTTTAAACAGCACTGTGTGTATCTGAGATCATACCTGTGTCTTTGTGTGTGTGTGAGAAAAGTGTGCATTGCTAACCTGGTCCTCCTCTCCTCCTCCCTCCTCATCATATTTCAGTATATTGTCCCTCACGTCATCCTCTGGATCGATCAGCAGAGGCTTGGTCTGACGCTCTTTCTCTCTACGCTTCATCCAAACCACAAAGAGCAGCACCATGCCTGAGCGTGCACACATACATAAATAAAGCATGAGATCAGCTACCAAGAACAAGCTAAACCAGAGGCTTTAACAGTGAAAAGATTATTTAAACCTTGTTTGCTGCATTGCTGGTTTTACACAAAGGCTATTTTCTTTCACTCTGTTTCGATGTACTTTTTTCCTTGGGTAAATGATCATCAGATAAAGTATTCAGTTGTCCACCCACTCGTTCCTGCACTTACTAAGCAGTATGATGATGCAGATGAGGATGGCTATAATGGCTCCTGTGCCCAGGCTGGCTGAAGCCACGGCTCCGACCGCAGTGCAGTCTCCGTGCTCGTCACAGGGACACACTTTCACCCTGATCATGGAGCGGTTGGTCAGGGGAGGGTTTCCCGAGTCCGACACCAGGATGGGCACTCGATACATACCGGCCTCTAGGTAGGGAATCCGCAACCTCAGCTGGGCATACTCACCTGGAGGAGACATAAAGGTACATTTTAGAGCTTTGGGATGATTCTTTGTGATCCTTTAAGTACCAAGGATAATATTTCTTTTTCTGAAACAAGATGCTGGTGCTCGTGCTGGAGGTGAAAGATTGCGTATCTGGACGTAGCGTTTCCTCAGCTCGGAAACAGAAGTCGACAAGCACACAGCATAAAACAACCACAGCATATGATATCCTTTACTTCTGACTTTTAGGGCATGGTAGGGGTGGACAATATGATGATTTGTTATCATTCTTGTGATAAATTGCAGCACAATATTCATTTCCGAACACGCTGAGTATCTTTAGTACTTCTTGAACCCCGAACAGTTCACTCTCACCTGAGCATGAAAATCCTGTCAATTCCGTAGCGTGAATGCAGTTTCCAGTTTATTTCTGCTTGTGGAGAGGCTCGAGTAGAACTGGAGCTTTCCACTTTTGCATTTGTTATTTTGTTGCTCTTTGATTTATCCGTAATTCTCACACAAATACTGTCCGTTGTAGTCTACTGAAAGTGCTGGCGCTTTTTTAAAGCTATTGCTTTAAAAACTGTTTAAAAGCAGCATTTGAAACTGTCGCGGATTATATCATAGCAAAAAATATACAGCACATGAGCTACTACTACTACTAAGAATGGTTCTTAGGGTCAAACTACAATGCATTATTAAAGCATTACCTTTGACAGCCCTAGTAGGTATCTTATTTTATTCATTCATCCTTACCAAAGTTTGATTTTTCTTCCTGCACCCTCAGCATCTTAATGAAAAAAAGTTATGACAGCATGGTGGTTTTATTGTACTAAGCAACAGTACTGCACATACTAGTAGTGTATTAAAAAGGAGTGACTCACCATTTAGCCGTGAGATGGTCCAGTTGCGGCGGACTGAGGGCGGGAAAGAGGGCAGCTCAAAGACATATGGCCCTGCGTTGGGTTCAGAGTCTGCGTCGGAGGCAGTGATGTTGATCCTGGAGCTGGGCCGCGACCTCTCGCACAGCTGAGCCTCTTTGGGCACCAGCACTGGCACGTTATCATTTACATCTATCAGATAGATCTGTAGAGTGCCTGTTCCTGTTGCAGGAGGAGACCCTGCAAGAGATGCACAGAGAGAAAGTAGGTGATAGCCAGATTTAGAGATAAGCTGAAAGAGAGGGTTAGAGGTGGAGTAGCATGTAATTTCCAGGAGATAGTGTCCCTTTTGAGGAAAGCATTGCTAAAGCAGAACAAATATTTTTTCTTGAAAGAATATATTTTTTTTTCTTTTACCTGAATGTGGCTATCGTTGCCTTTGAGACTCAAGTAGTTTTGATAACTCCAGTATTGAGAATGAAAATGAAATAATGAGTAATATAAAACGGCATCATTATTAGCTGGAACTGAATCACTAATTTGAAACTCTGTTACTTGTTAATAACCTATAAAACAGAAATATTCCATAGTTGATGTTCGTGTATGAATGTTCTTATCAATACAAACATAACTGCTGTGTTTACTAGCTTAGCAGACCAACTGTTTAATTATATTAGGCCTGAACGCAGCCTATCTAAACTGTTTTTAATTTGGTTCTAACCAGTTCAGGAAACTTAAGAGTTGGAAGGCAAAAATGAAACGCTGAGCAAACCGATTCATTTTTTAATTTTATTTCTGAGCCCTGCTGCAAAGTAATGTTCAACCCTGTCTTGTTGTTTTGAATACTAAACATTCTGCATTATTGAAATGCTGACTTTTGGGTGGTCAGAGCCTGTGAGATTCCACTTCATACTGAAACTGCTGGAGTGCAGACCAAAGCCTGCATAAAGATAGATGGATGGGAAATAGGTAGAGGAAACAAACCCTTAAAGAGCAGAAAGAGAGAAGTGGAGGGTGACAGGGAAAATGAAAGAGAAATTGGGGAGCGGGGCTGAGAGGAAGGAGATGACGGAGGTCTGATGGAGAGGTTTACACCCTGTTATTCCTCTTAAAAACTCCCCATGGTGACAGATATGACAAATGAAACGATGCATAAATACTTCACACGCCTCTTTTGTCTTTAATGGAGTTGTGCTCTCTTGGAGAACGTCTTTGTGAAATGACTTTCCTAGAAAAAACAAGCGCATCTGTTCCCTGCGGCTGAGTCTGATGCAGACAAACAAATGCAGAGCTTTATAGAAGCCTGCTGCACGCTCCCAAACCCACTTCTGCCGACTTCAGGGAAACACATATTAGATACAGATCGATTCGGAGAAATGCTGTTGTGCAGATATGATGCAAAACGCTGTCTGGCACTATGGACTCTTGGAAGAACAAATGGGGTAAAAAAAAACCTTAAGTCCTTTATATCCAACTGGGAGGTAGCCTGTGCGAAATTCACTGCTGTGTGGTTTTCTATCAGCCCAGTTAACAAGGCAGGCCACTTAAGACACCTTTGAAGACTTGTGGGAGGAAAAACAGAGCTGGTTTGTACCGATTGGCCAATTTGTTCATCATGCAGTTTCACTCTTAAGTGTGCAAAGCTAGTAGAGTAACAGCGTTCCTCCCTGGTCAGCAAGCTACATTTCACTTTAGTCTTTCTTTGAGCTTGGAGTCGGATGCCGAATTAAAAAAAAAAAGGCAGCGGCCCTCCGGCTGGTAGCTGCAGGCAAAATGGACTGGTGGGTCTGCTGTGATTGCGTCGAAGCTCCTTTGTGGATGAGTGGAGCAAATAAAGTGAAATCCAATCAGAGGAGCAATGCGCTTGTGATTGTTGAGCGGGGGTTCGATCGATTGGGCATGAAAAACTTGGTGAAGCCTCACTCATGCACTGTGAAGGTAAACGGCTGTTTTAGCCAATGCTGCCCTCTATAATTTGCCCTTTACCAGCATAAAGACAAACACATATTAAATACATTAGCACTATTATTAATGATTATTTTAGTAATCATGTAATCTACCAACAGTTTTGATCCCATATCACAGAATTTCAAATTTTCCCTACATTGTTAAAATGTCAAATCGTACTTTTCACTCCACAGTCCACACAATCTATATAAAGAAAACTACGCTCCAAAAACAGCCCATTTGAATTTGTTACTGTAATGTCACAAAAAACCAAACATGTTTCCATATATCCAACTACTGAAATGACAGCAGTTTAACCTCATCCATTCATGCTGAAGTTACAAGGAGTGTTTCAGGCTGGACTGTCTGGATTTCAATCTTTAATGAAAACAGCTGGTTTATTTCTAAAACAAAATCTCTGATTCTAATTTTAAAGAGGCTGGAATACAGTGCAACATGTAAAAATAAATTATGACTGTTTTAGTTACATTAAACAAAAAAATGTCATAAGTGGACCTCTAAATGGATCCTTCAGTTGAGTAATCAGTTTTTTAAAAAGGCCAAACAATAAAAATAAACTTAACTGAACAATAATAAACCATGCCTAGCCTTTAAAAGATTCCAAAATACCTAAGCCTAAGTAGATAAAGATAAACTATGAAACTAGGAAGTCTAAAAAAAAAAAAATAAACACTATGGGCCAGATGTACTAAGGAGCAGACAAAATCTGTTACCAAGTATCTGTACTACCAAAAGATGTGAATGGGGAAAAAAAAGACCAGACACCCTGCATTTCATAGGACAATCTCAAGGTTTCTCTTGCATTGTGCTAAAACAAAACAGTCCTGTGTTTCAATCGTGGGGAAAAACCTAAAATAGAATTTTTGTGAATTTTTTTGTATGTTTCTTTTTACATCTTTTTAGATCAAAACTTAATAATTTTAAATATGTCTAAAATTTACATAGTAGTTTCTATAATGCCTTGCTCTAATGATCAGACTCACTCAAAAAACATGCCGTCATTAAGGAAACGTGTGAGGGAAGAGGGAGAAAAATATATGTGCATGTTTTTTATTTTGCAAAAGAGCACTAATTTTTTTGGCCATTTTCACACATTTTCAAATGCATTTTATAAATACACTGCATGTTTCTCATATGGGAAGAGCTGATGCTCAGCCCAAAGGTAAAGAAACAACATAAAAATGCTGAACAAAAAGAAATGGACAGAACTATATATATTTTGTATAAGAAAAGCTTGCTTTTAATAACACACCTGTCTTCTCACATGCCTTCAGTGTGGCAACCATGTTAAAAGTAATGGTGCCTCCTTCTCCTTGCTGTTAAGAAACGTGATTTGTCTGGTCAGTTCACATCAGTAAACTGTTCCAGTTTTTTAATTTGCATAGTCCCCTCTCCTATGTGCCTCAGGAGTACCACTCCCTGAAATGCATATTCATGAATTCATCAGGTTTGCTAAAACTTACCAAGGCACTCAGTGACGACCTGCTGTGCATGCACAAAATGCCACCACAAACGTTTTGTCATAAAACATAAATCTAGCCCTGTGTGCCAAAAAATGCATATTCAGTCATTTGCAAAAGTTTGAGCACAATTTTAGTGCACAATTTCTATTTATTTGCTGAGTTTACTGGACAAAATGAAACACAAAATATAAAATCTGCCATAACTTTTACACAGGCGGAAATATACCTTTCCAGTAGATTCAGCAAATAAACAGTAATTGTGCATTAAAATGTGTAGAACTGTGTTCTCTGTAGAGGATGTAGTAACTTATTTTCACTGCAAGTCAACAAAATGTAATTTGACAGGGGTGCCCAAACTTTTGCGCATGACTGTAAATAGGTGTGTACATCAGGCTGTTTCTTTCTGTGAGAGAGATCATTAGGAGACTTTAAAATATGCATTATCAAATTAGCAAAGAGCCTACTAATAACTGCTGATTCAAAGAGGATGTACATTTTAATTTTGTAATCGAATTTAATCAAGTAATCATGAAAGCTCTGATCTACATATACATTTATACATACATACACACACATTTTCACCTGATTTCCCTAATCTTTGGTGATACTTACCATTGTCTACAGCCAGAAAGGTCGCTTCATACACGTTATTCTTCACATAAGGTGACTCACGGTCCAGTATGGCTGTAGTGGTTATCTGACCATTTGTCCTGTTGATTCGGAGCCAGTTTCCTGGATCGGACAGCTTGGAGTATCTATAAATCAAACATAAATGAGCCATACTTTAAAAACAGTCTCTGATACAGGCTGATGATACCCTCTCAATTAGACAACGATGTAAGCTACTTTGCTTTGCTTTACATTATGTTGCAAGCAATATTTCATGTTAGATTTGTTACAGATTTTAATCGAATTTGTTCTTTATTCCTTTGATATCTGACCCAGCATTTCTGCTAGTAGCAGCCTGACACTGAAACTGGGTTTTGGACCATTGCTTTTTAAAGGTAAGTGGCACAATCAAACAATAATCAGCACTATTATTAGCATCTACTGATGAGATCTTGTCTGCATTTGTACTCATAAGAGTTTGAAACACGCTCTCAAAACTGTAGTTTTCACAGCAGATCTTCAGAGGCAGTAAAATAACAGCAGTATATGGTTTAATATAAAGACTGAATCTTGATCCATGGCACAGTGCAAAGCAGAATTATTCATACTCAATCAAATATCTGAGCTGACACACAATTATTATTTTACAGAATACTGAATAATTGATGTGGCTTTGGTGCTGGCTGCCTTGCTATTGATATAGCGACCAAGGTCAGACAGACGCTTCCAGAATCACTGAGCGGGTGGTGTCTGCTCCTCTGATGAATGGCCAAATAATTAGCCTAGTAAAGCAGGGTTTATAAGCAGTTCAGAAAATGTGTTGTCATTTGTTCATTTTACAGCCTGCCACTGCAAGCTGGTTTTAAGACCATCTTCCATTGCTTAAGTAATGGGAACAAAATGAGAAAAGATCTTAGATCTGTGAAAACATCTTTGTCCCTGAACATGATTTGCAAAGATAAAGTGAAAAGGTGGCCAGTGTGACAGCTTGGCTGCATTACTTTGTACTTGCAAAGTGCATTTGAAGTGCTAAATGGCACCTGCACTCTGCTAGCAAACAAATAGGTTTCGGTATACAGAGGTTTATATTTTCAGTTGTGCTGTTTCCATTTACAGTTGCAAGAGCGCAGCACGGTTAACAACAAGAAGTGTGTGTTAAAAAACATGGTAAGGAAAAAGAGTTCTTCAGAGCAGTGTCACAGAAGAACAGTGTTATGGAAGAACTGTTTTGGTTCCCTAAGGAAGCTTTCAGTAGATGGAATTTTGCAAATAAGATGTGCAAGTGTGAGGAACCTTTAAAATGTTTAAAGAATCTCCACATAATGTCAAGGTTCCTTACCAAGTAACTTCTTTCTGATGGCCCGCTAGTGGCCATTTCACTGACAGAAATACACTGGAATCTTTTAATGTATTCAAATAAAATGTTTTCCCCATGACTCTGTTATCAGATTAACTAGAACACTGTTGGCTCTGTATGTGTGGAATGCTGTGGGTCTGTGTAGTGCTGTTAGTGAGCAATGAGGGGTGAAAAGGGGAGAAGTAAGAGCCCTCCGAAAAAAAAAATCACACCTCTTCACAGATGGCTATGCCAAGATAAAACAGACAGCATGACCTGCAGCTTTCTTATTAGCAAAACATGATGCAGAACGGCCCCAAAAAAGCATTAAAACACAATGAAAACGCTTATAAACATTGATTTGCGCACTCACAAAGATTGTAAACAATAGACATATATATTAAAATATATTCCACTAACGTTGCTGAAGGAAAAAAAGTGCATAGTGCAAAAACTACATGTGCAAAAATTGAGGGACCTCCAAAACAGGTGGAAATGCCATGTTTTGCTTACTGTGGGGAAAAAGGTTAAAAGTATTTGCTAGAACTGTACATCAAAGCAAGATCTAGTCTGAAACCTTTATTTTTGTGTTGTGGGCCAAACTGGTGAACTGTGTGTTGGAGTGGGCCTAGTTCTAGATCAATACCACAAAGATGGCACATTGCCTGTCGAACAGCTTCGGCCCAGGCAGAGAACTCGATCGATGAAGTGGAGAGACAGACAGACAGAGAGAGTGGGGCTGGGGACTGGTCTAGCTCATTACTCAATGACCTCTACACCCCGTTGCCTGACAACCGAGGCAGCACCGGACACTGGGACCAGGAGAAAGTCAGTTAAAAGCATTTAGCTTGTCTCCCAAGTGCAGCTGGCATGAGGGATGTCTGCTGCAGTGCAGTGTGTGTCATGCCACGCTAAAGGGATTCAGCATGCATTGGGAATATTTAGGACTAAAGAGCCTTAAAGACGGGAAGAGCAGGTGAGCAGTTCTGTTTTGTGCTTTAAAGAAGTACTGCAGGAGTGGTTATTTTTGTATTGACTGTTTTTTGAGAAATGGAAGTTTACTTTTGGCTGACATTAAACCAAATGTGAAAAATTGTTAAGCCTGGTCAGGTGAAGACTGCAACACTTGCTGACCTTGGAGAGCCAGCAGAATATTTGGCCTCAGATAAAGGTTATTGTGTAAAGTTGCTGCAAAATACAACCCAAATCAGAAATAGCTGCACTGGCATGTTAAATTAACATTAAATCTGAAAACAGTGATTTGTTAATTATTTTTGACCTGTATTACATTAAAAAATAACAGTACACAACTTTTTTGTTTCCAAATTAAACACACTTCAGTTGTGCTTCTTGCAACATATTTAAAAAAAAAACTTTGTAATGTTCCCATTCCTTTTCACAACACTTAAAAGACATTTAGGGACTGAAGACACCGAGTGGCTAAGCTTTTCAGGTGTAATTTGGTCCCAGTCTTCCTGCAAACAAGTTTTAAGGGTCTCTGTTGTCAAATTTTGTGTTTTAAAATGTGCCACACATTCTCTCTTGGTGACAGATCAGGACTGCAGGCAGGCTAGTCCTTTGTAAGGTGTGCAAAAGGTGGTTTTGCATTGTCTTGTTGAAATATGTATGGGTGTCTCTGGAAAATATGTCAACTTGAAGGCAGCTTAGGTTGACCCTAAAATCTCTATGTACTTTCTGGTGTTAATGGTGCCCTCACAGAAGTGCAAGTTACCTTTGCCAAGGGCCCTGACACAACCCCGTACCGCAACATATGCTGACTTTTGAACTTGTTGCTGGTAACAGTCTGGATGGTCCACAGCACATGGTGCCCATTTTTTCCAAAAAGGACCTGAAATTTGTCTGACCCCAGTACGTATTTTCACTGTGTGATGGTTGAACCCAGATGCCTCTGAGCCCAGAGAAGTCAGCAGTGCTTCTGGACATGGTTAACATACGTTTTCCTTTTGGCACAGTAAAGTTTTAACTGGCATTTGTGGATGTAACTATGTACTTTAGTGCTTAACAAAGGTTTGCCAAAGTAATCCTGAGCTCATGTAGTTATATGATTTATAGATGAATGATGATTCTTGGATGCTGCTTTTATACCAAATCATGATTATTTAATTATTTTACCTAATTATTAGTCCTAAATTGCCCTGTCCCAACTTCTTTTGGAATGTGTTGCATGCCTGAATAGCAGGAATGAATGAATATTTACAGATTAAATTAAGTTGACCAGACAAAACATGAAATACCTTGTGTTCATACTGTCTGCAATGAAATACAAGTCAATTTTAGAAATCACTGCTTGAGGCTTTACCTGTAGAGCAGCTTCACCAAGCACTAACTCAGAAGGAGCACTTAGAGAGTCTTGAGTGTTCACTCAGTAGCAACCTTCATGAACAAGTAGATCTAAAAATGATTGGCACTGTAAATAAAGTTATATGACTATGCCTTGTTCATAAGATGATTGATGTTCTTGATTAATTCTGGCTAATCATATAGTACTGTGCAACAGTCAGAGACCTCCATCTTTGAGAGAAAATTAAGCTCCACCTTTGCTTCAGATGTAAAAAAAATCCACAGGTGTTTCTGTCCATCCTTCCACTGTGAGAAAAAACTCAACAATGTGGGTCTGAAAGGACATGTAGCTGTCAAGAAGCTCTTAATGAGGAAATTAAATAGACAAAAGATTTGTAAACAAAGAAAGAAGCTGCTGATGTTCTCAGGACAATAAGCGGACGATAAGTCCAGACCTTGTTCTTTCCATCTTTCCACTGTGAGAAGACAACTCAAAGCCATGGGGTAGAAGAAAAGAAAATAGACAAAAAAGAAGAAAATTTGCAAATCAAACAAAGAGGCTGCTGGTGTTCTCAGAACAGTAAACTGCAGCCCAGACCTCAACATCATTTAATGTGTTTGGGGTTATTTGGATTGTGAGAAACACAGCAAATTGCAATGTAGCAGTACTTAGAATGAATGAGAGGGACATTACTGAGGGTACATGAGAGCAGCCAAGTGAAGAAAGAGGAGTGGTAGAGTTGGAAAAGGGAATTTAAAACCTTAAGTGTACTGCTGCTCTTTTGGTCCCATCCAGTGATGTTTCAGGCCCTCTTTCAGAACAGCACATTGGTTATGCAATTCTTTTGTGGGGCATGACCTACAAACCTCCTGATCTTGAAGCATAGTTTATTCTGTTGAGTCACACAATCTCATAAGCTTGAGCTTTTTTAAAACATTAAATCTGTATGGTAAAAGTGAAGCTATAACCTTCAGCTTCATGTGCCATAGCAGTAATCACTACACTTCAGAAGAAGCATCTAGAGGATTTTTACCTTGACCTACTGGATACTACTTTGAACCATACTGGCTTCTGAAACTTTAGTGGCAAAAGACAGGTTTGAAGTATTAGAAAAGATTTCAGAAAGTACACTATGACCCAACTGGTCACTCGGATACCAGAAAGGCTTAGCACAATAGACTGACTGGTTGTCCCTTTAGACTGAAGTGTACAAAGTGTGACCTGAACCCTTGGAATTTGGGAGACCAAAGGAACACATCATTTACTGAACCACTACTAGCTTCATGGAGGATTTATCTTTTTGTTCGATTCAGACCAGTAAGCTGATTAGGCCAGAAGTCAAAGCCAAGGTCAAGACTTCAGAACACAAGAGTAGCTCATCCTTATCTCTGTAGTGCTTCATAGCATAGTACCAGAACACAAAGGTCCTAAGTTCAATTTTGCTTGTTATAGAATTTAAGAGTATAATGCTAGAATACTACAGAACGTTTATAGTTAATTTGAATGAACTGCAGCTTGAAGTCAGGAGCTCTATCTGAACCTGCTCATGTCTCCAGGAACCTGGAGTGGCCAGTGAAGAAATGTAGTAAAGTCACGTCATGTGGGAAGTAAGGTGAACAGTGGTTACTGCTGGGTGTGTGGCATGTCACATGCAAGAGCACCTGTGAATGACATGCCTTTCTTACTTTTTAGAACCAGAGATTTTTTGGTTTTGAGGTCCAGAAATCACATCAAGTGTGAAAACACTATAAAACTGTCACCTCCTGCACTGAGCTCCCCTATATCACATTACCCAAAAAAGTTTTGCTGTGGATCTGCAGGATTCGGCACTAAACCACCCACAAGCCTCCTTCCATCACCATACAATAAGTGAGCCAGAATTACACCTGCAACTATAAGGCTTTTCTCACAACAGCATGGAGTTATGTTATGTTCTCCTTAAGACAGACAAACACAAACCCATGTTAACCGCTATCTTTTCTCAAAAGCCACAGGTCACTTTATATTACAGCATCATGTTTTATTACCTTTGAATCATTTGACTGAGAATTCTTTTGACATGTAATTTCACACTAATGTGACCATTTTCAGACAATAAAACAGGCATCAGAAATGCATCCAGTAATATTTGTGTGCTAAATCTAATGTAAGGAATGTAAGGTTTGTCATGTTCTTCTCTCATAATGTATTTTTAAAATCAATATAGTATTGAAAATATGAACATGGACAAAATATAAAAAGGGAGGTTATCTATGAGATACACATAAACATCAGAGACTAAAACTCAGTGTACTACAAGTACTGTTAAGGTAAGGGAGCTTCGAGAGGACGTTTAACTTGGAATAAGCTGGGAATAACCTCAGAAAAAGAAAGTGGACAAAATTTTAATAAGCACAAACCAGTCATTTTGCCCAGCATTCTTCTGGCAGACCACTCTGGATTCCACAGTGGCCAGACGTGCATAATGTAGGTCACATCTGAAAGTTTAATTAGTATACTAAACCTATTTATTTCCTTTAACAAGAAGAGACGGATACAAGGACTGACCAAATACATCTAGACAACAAGTACTGAAGTATTTTAAAATAACAGAGAAACAAAGAAGTCCACAGAGACCGGAAAATGAAGGCATAGAAGAATATTCATTTTTATGATCAATATTCTGAGGTTCATAGCCAAGCACTGAGATGTTCAAGGTCAAATTATGTTTATGCAACAGCTTAACATTGGAGGGCAAAACGCTCCAATGCATATGTACGCTGTTACAGCTGAATCTATCAATGTTCTTGGAGGGCAGTGCTTTTTTCATGTATTTCACCAAACAACACTCCTGAGAGCATCTGACACAGCAGTAGTAATGTGAATTCTGTGAGATGACAAGAAAACAGATGTTTTACAATCATAATGATTTCTGTTGTCTGGCAGGAGTGGAAGTCCTGAAGGGTAATATGAAAAAAACATTCAAAGTACACTACTGAGTTTTATTTTTATTTTATTTAATTTTTTATTTTTTATTAAAGAAAATGTAATACTTTAATACTTTGAGTTTGTTTGATTGCCTATTTGTTGGATGTTGGATCTTTTTAGCATTTTGAAAATTCACTAACCATTGTTTCAATTCTATTTATTACTTCCTCATTAAATCTTTTTTATTTAATTGTGATCTATTATTTAAATTTTTGTCTTCACTTCTTTTTAAATGTTTATACTGTTCAATTTTGCTTTTATTAATGTAGAGCACTTTGAATTGCCTTTGTGTATGAAATTTGCTATACAAATGTACTTCCCTTGGCTTGAAACCAAACGTGACACACGTCTTAAGTGATAGTTTTATGGCAAACAGACACAATGGCAGAATTAAAGTTTTGGTGTCAGCATTGTGTGTTATTAACCAATGTTAGAGCAGCTTTATGTTATCAGACAAGGGGGTGAGACTGTATATTAAACCAAAGCACACTGGTAGTGTTGCTTATTTTGAATTACCTTATAGGAAGTGTAGCCGTAGCATTTATATAATTTCTATATGGGTCATGATTTTGCTCTTGGTTTGACTCTGAGGGACATGGATAATGAGAGATGTAAATATTTAACAACTACTAACTTAACTTCAACATAATGTATAACCTTAAGTTAGTACCTTATAACTTGCCTGTGTCTGAATGTACGTACAGCTAGTGTAACCGGCTCAGGAAGTCAGTTCTGAAACTTGGCTCTGGTTTGGCCGACAGCTCTGGAACTCAGTTTGATTTACAGATTCTCTCTGTCTGGTGAAAAGGCTCAGAGTATCTCTCCCGTCCTTGCCACGGTAAAGCTTGAGTGTGAGCGTGTGTGTGTTGATTGCTGGCTGTGCTGCTCTCACACTTCAGTGGAGCCTGAGGCCGAGCAGCAATCTGTCGTGGCGCTGCACTTCTGTCTGTCACTCTGAGAGGTCAAGGCGAGGTCACGGCAACCTCGCTCTACTCTAGTCACGAATAGCACACAACAGCAGTCTCCCAAAGACAAACAATGCAGCTCAGATGTTGGAATATTTAGGGAAATGTCTTAAGTTTGATGCAACTGCTCATTAAGTACATGGCCCTCAGAGAGTAGAATCTTTAGCCTATGACTTTAGCCTTTCACATCAATCAAAAAAATAATGATATGATGGATGTGAAAAAATTATGAAGGATAAATATATTTATATTTCTAGTAACACTGGATGCTGTTTTATCTTATGCACAGGGGTGTTTTGCCCATAATGTTCGCTGGGGCACCATCCCACTGATTATCACGTGCAAAAAAAGAATACATTGCACCAAGCACACCTGATTTAATTTAATGAAGGACTGATTAGCCAGACTAAGGATGATAACTACAAATAATACAAGGCCTCTATGAGGAGAAGATTAGAAATGGTCAACCAAAAACACTTTAACTTGCATTTTTTCAGGTGCCTTTTGCACACATAGTCTATATTTGTGACACTGGCTGGAGGGTGAAAAAAATGAATGCCAGTTTATTAATCATATTGACAATAACTAGAAGCTGTCGACGTGGTGTCTGTGCGGGCCAAGGCGTGCCAGTCACAGCTTCCTGTGGATTCCAAAGCTTCAGGCTCCAGGTTTAGTACACATGACTGAAATAACACAGCTTGCTAATACAGCTAATGCACTACAGCAATATATACATACACACACAGACTTGTCAATTTGCTAGATTTCTTGCATCTCATTTTGCTGATTTCATATATGTGTTACTTGTTGAATGCAAGTAATGAGTTGTGTTTTTGAACAGGCTGGTTGTGATAGAGTTCAAACAAGTGTTTATCTGGTTTGATGTGCTTGAGGCTGATAATATGTGCTGTGCAGTCATGTGTTTTCAACAATCACTCAATTCTGCCTGCTACTTTGTCTGTCAATTCAAAGGTGTAACATCTATAAAACCATGTGCATATAAATAAATGTAGTGTTTTAGTTTCACATGCAAGGCACTAGGCTTGTAACGCATGCTGTTTTAAGTTCTCAAGGGGGAACCTTTAGGACTCAGGTAGCTTTTGTGTGCATCACTGGAATGGAGGAACTTGCAATGGTTATGGAAAAAATTATATTTATGATATGATGAACATTCATTTCATTACCACAGGCAGTCACCAAAAGCAGAAAGGGTGCTATGGAAGAGTGGAACTATGGAAGAGCATCAGTGACAAAATGTGAATAGGGTAAGGTAGTCAGTAAACGACTGTGCCACTGTATTAGAGTGATGAATACAGCACTGCCTCTTAATTGGCAAAACCACACCAAGCCACTTCTTTTTTATGTTTATCTATGTACTCCGCTAGATGTACATTTTTACTAGCATTATAATGTGTATTCTGTTATATTTGAAATGTTTTATAATAGTGTTAATTAGCACTTTTAACTATCCCTGACAAATAAATTATATAAAAAATAAAAGACAAACATAGAGTTAGAAACACAGTACCTGACAGTCTGTTGGATGAAGCGATCTGGATCCAGGGCGGCAAATATGGTGAGGGTGGTATCAGCAGGGACCCCCTCCTCGAAGCGGATCATTTTGGGGTTGGAGGGAAAGACAGGAGCCTCGTTCACATCCAGCACCGAGATGGTGACCCCCGCAGTGGACGAGAGAGACGACGGGATGCCGCTGGCTAGATGGGCTTGGTTAGAGACCACCACTGTCAACATAAACGCACCATTCCTCTCATAGTCCACCGGCTGCATGCGTACACACAGGTAAGGGAGAGCAACAAAGAAAGACAAAAAGAGAAAGTGAGACCGCAGCATTAAAAGGAAAAAAAGACATGAGAATGCTTTCTTAACAGTGACTATAAAAACCTCAAAAGATACACTCCTTTAATGATCTTAAAGCAGTAATGATTTAGTAACACTTCAGTTCCAGGGATAAGCTGAACTATGTGTAGTACATTAGTGAGTAGAGTACTGTATGAACGTAGTGGATTGGAGCACACTGTATCTGCAATAGCTGATCAGCTCGTGTGTCAGGGTGCAGTGCTACTCCACACAGCGCATCGAATTCAATCCTAAGAACCATGTAACACTTCATGAGAGGGTGAAATCAATTTTTCATGTGCTTCTGTCACTCACTCTCTGTAAAATACACACATGGTTTATCTCAGTCTGCTCTGTCATAGGGGAATAATGAGAAGACTAAAAGAAATAACAGTTTTAATGGAGCTATGCCTAATTATAAATAAATACTCTGCCAATATCTTAATCAAATCTTATTCAGACACATTGTGATCAATAGATAATTTAAGTTTTAGGTTTGTGGACTAGCAAAAAAGTAAAGATTTTCATCTTTTCCTGTAACAACCAAACAACACATACACCCATTTATTTAATTTCCAATCAAAAGAGATATTTAGTACACTCATTTTTCAGCATCAAGACACAAAAAAACAGTTTATTAGAAAATTATCCAGACGCTTTACAGGTGTATTTAGTGTGTCCACCCTTTAACTTCATTACAGCTCCCATTCTTTTTTGTTGAAACTTGCTTTCAGTTTTTCAAAGAAATCTGCAGGGATATTTTCATATTTTCAGACTGGAAAAAAAAGTTGGTTGCATTTTCTGCTTCTCACAATCCAAGTAATCTCAAACACATTCAACCATGTTGAGGTCTGGAGTCTGGGGTGGTCAGGCCATTGTTCTGAGAAAACCAGCTTCTTTTGTTTGATTTGCAAATTCTTTGACTATTTTTGCCTTTTTTGGCCTTTTCCTTTTCTCAGTAAGGGGTTCTTGACAGCTACACATCCTTTCAGACTCGCAGTGTTGAGTTGTCTTCTCACAGTGGAAGGATGGACAGAAACACTTGTGGTCTGAAGCAAGAGTGGATCTTGATTTACTCCTCTCTCTCAAATATGAAAGCATTAAGTGCAGTTTATCTGATGGTGATGCCCGGGTTTTAAGAATCCTATTTTCTCTGTATCTTTTAAGAAATTTGTGAACCTCAGTTTTGGAAACTCCTGTTTTTCACTTATTTTTCTCTTGACTTGTTCTCTTCCTTATATCTAAACTCCACAGAAACATCTACTGAAAAATGAATAACTTGTATTTAATGCTGTTCTGACTGGAAATTGAAAAAATGAAAGGTGATCTCTTGACTTTTGCACAGTACTGTTTAAGCTCCTCACACACACTCAAATATACACATATGCTCATGCACCTTGACCACAGTAACTCTGCCATCGTTGGTGATCTCGTCAGTGCGGATGGTGAAATGACCCATAGAGTCTCCGCCCACTATCCTGTACACAGCGTTCCAGTTGGGTGTGTGAGGTTGGTCCCTGTCCCGCACCGTCAGATTAGCCACAACCACACCCACTGCGTTCTCTGGCACCTCTCCCAGGAACTAAGAGGGAGAAAGAGAAGAGAAAATAATTTTACAATTATTTAGTCACTCAGGTGGAGCAGTCAGTGAAGATCCTTAAGATCAGCCCAGTTAAACAGAAAATAAAAGAGCAAAAAAAAACTAACAAAATACATTTATACCAACAAAACAGAGGGGTGGTGTGTTTACGCGGTAAATCTTTCAGACACCATGCTCTTTTAATCGTATGCTACGTTTTGCCATGCACTGTTTTATTTACACTGTTCTGCTGTTTTATTTAAATGTATAGCGAAGGGCTTTAAAGTCGAATTCTGGCGATAATTCAACTCATAATTCAAAGAAGCAGAGTCATTCAGAGTGCTTTGATGTGAAATGGTTCATTGTAGAGAAAACTTTTTTTCTTTACAGTGGTCGTGATAGATTCCAGGGGTTGTGCATCTACAATGCAAATATATTTTATTTACCATCCAAATGACCAGTGAAACTACATGAGTTTTTACATCAAATCAAATGAAATTACATTTATTGTCGCATCACATTTACACAGATGCAAAGGTGAGTAAAAATCTTAGGTGCATAGCCCCTTTGTAGAACTTACATACAAAAAATTATTATAAAAAACAAATATAAACATATATATATATATATATATATATATAGAAATAAAAAGCTATGATATGTACAGTTTTACACATTTCAATGTATGCAATTTGTGAGTCCGTGGTAGATAAATGAGATGCAGCGTACACGGGGGATAGAATACTGATATGTACATATTCCAGGTTATGATTCGATTACGATTCAGAGGCTGTGATGCGATTATGAAATGATTATGGAACTTTTAAAGCCAAGTATTTCTAATGATCTATAATGAATTTACTTCCAATACCGTTTATTAATAAAGTCTATTAATTAAAGTTTATTAATAGTCATGTGGCAAATGAACTGGAAGGCTCTCATTCACTGCTCTTGTTTGGAGCACATGAGACGCAGGCTGCCACTTATCTGTGATAAAATTCGCAGTTACGGTGAAATAAGATCCTATGGTAATTGATGTCCGCGCAGCAGATTACAGCTATTCTACCCATTTTCTTCAGTGATTCCATAACTTCGGTTTTGGTCTCGTTGTAGAGAGTGGGGGGTCGCTGTGTCAGTAAAATATCTTCGAGACGGGATGCTGTATCTCGGCTCCAATGTGTGTAACATAGCGCGAAAGCCCTGGTTCTCAAAGACTGAGTATGGATGCAAATCCTTGGCAACAAAAGTTGCGATATAGTTTGTTGTTCACTTCGTCCTTTCTGAGTTGGGTGGAAGCTTTAACATTGCTTGATCGATGGTCCTCTGGTTGGCAGCAACTACAACCGGACAGAAAATGGGTGGAAACGTAATATGGTTTCCTCCTCTACTCCATAGAAGCCAAAGTGCATCCATACGCTAGCTCAAGGGTCGGCAATCTGTGGCTCTTTTACTGGCCTGATGTGGCTCCACATCAGAGTTAGATTTCTAGGTAAAAATAAAATAATCCTCCTTTGCAGTAAAATAAAGCTCTGCTGATCGTTCAAGACAGTTTTAACCATAATGATCTTAAACGCTGGAATTAATGTAGCCTATAACTGCTAGTTCACCCAGTTCAGCTAGTAGCTAACGAAAAGGCAAAGACAAAGACGAATACTGATAATTGGAGACGAATAGACTTATTTGCATTTATAAATCACACCAGCTGGTTTCCTGATATGTTTATTCTGCAACAAGAAACTGACAAACACTACACTTCAAACTGAAGTCAGGTTCTTGTTCTCCAGCTTTTTGTTCGAATTTTCCCGTTCCACCTTAAATGGTGCAGCAGTTATATTCTGGCGCCTCAGGCACCATTAAAGGTGGAACGGGAAAATTTGAACGAGAAGCTGGAGAACGAAAATCTGACTTTAGCCTCGTAAAAAGCAGAACATTGAGAGACATTTTACAAGAAACTGTTCTACTTTTGTGGTAAAGATTCCAGCTGGTGATGCAAGAAAAGCGGCTACAGCTGAGCTATAGCTTAATGCAGAGCAAAGTAAGTCTGCGTTTTTGTTTGTATTATATTTTTACACTAGTACATTAGCACGTACTGAGACACATGTACAGCCAAGATGGTAAAATGGACTCAAAATGTTGTGGCTCCCAAGGTGGTTTGATTTTTGTTGAAAAGACAAAATGACTCTTATTAACGTTTGGGTTGCGACCCAAACGCGATGCATCTAAGAAGCAATTTTTCCCCCGCCCCTAATTGGAGCTGTGTCTGGCTGAACAACTGTGGGTGTACAGAGAGTACAAGAGAGGGTGGAGCACACAGCCCTGAGGGGCTCCAGTGTTAAGGGTCAGTAAGGAGGAGGTGATGTTACCCATCCTTACCACCTGGCGCCCACCCGTCAGGAAGTTCAGGATCCAGCTGCACAGAGAACTGTTCAGAGTCAGACCCCAAAGCTCAATGTCAAGCCTAGAGGGCATGATGGTGTTGAATGCTGAGCTGTAGTCCACAAACAGCATTCTCACATATGTGTTCTTTTTGTCCATATGGGAGAGGGCAGTGTGTAGAGTCAGGGCTATTGCGTCATCAGTGGATTTGTTCTGTCTGTAGGCGAACTGCAAAGGGTCCAGAGTGGCCAGTAGTGAGGAGCAGATAAAGTCTCTGACCTGCTTCTCAAAGCACTTCCTTGTGATGGAGGTCAAAGCATCCGGGCACCATTCATTTAAAGTAGTAACCTTGGCTGACTTTGGAACTGGCACAGTAGTGGCCAGTCTGAAGCATGCAGGCACCACTGAGAGTGAGAGAGAGAGGTTAAAGATGTCCAGAGAGGTTAAAGATGTTAAAGATGAACATGTTATGGCAAAACAGTAAATAAAAAAATAAATCTTTCCGGACTGTTTTGTCTAATGATGCTCTGCATGTACCATCCTCCATCTTGAATGTCTTTTAAAAATACATTTTAGGCAAAAAAAAAAACTTTCTCTCAAAACCATTGTAAGACACCCAGCAACATATTTGTAGCAATTTCATGTAATAACTTTCTGTGAGGGAGGATGAAACACTTCAGACATCTGTTCCTATCACCACCGCCATGAAATACTGACTCGATATATATTTGTCTAGAATGGAGCATTTCACACCAAACCACTTTAAGCTTTTAAGATTTTTTTTATGAAAGGTGTTATTTAAATAACTGTATTATTATTATTAATATTACTTTTATTACTGTTATCATCAATCTCAAGTGATATATAGAATTTGCCTGAAATTGTACTACTCTGCATTGCAGTTTACATACTGATATCTGCTGCTTTTATTGTAGACCGTGAGAAGAATCTGTGGTAAAGTCTTATTTTTAGAAAAGGTAAGTGCCCTGTGTTCAAATTTCTGCATGCTTGCCTTCAGACTCTATCTCGTCTTAGAAGCTCAGTGTTCTAACACATACAGACACGTGTGAAAGCACGCTTCAAACTTTGCATGAAACATGTCAAGATGCATATACGTACAAACTAACACGCCTCCACACACATGCACACAGAATCTACAGTCAGTGTTCACAGCTTTAGGTGCTTATGTGGGCTATCTAATGAAGCCTCTGCAATCTGGAGGTCTTTTCCCGAGCTTGAAGAGTTTACCATGTGTGTCTGCCAGATGCTGTTTACTGTAATAGCAGCCAAGCACTCCCTACAGCATTGTTAAAACTCTCTCTCTCTCTTATTCTGCAACTAGTTGTGTTGTAAAATTATATGCGATGTTCCCACTGAAGAACAAATTATATGACTACCTATTTTGGTATCACAAATATAGTTTGCTTGAGTCACAACACTGGATTTTATTTCATATGTAAAACTTAAAGACATCTTTCTCTACATACATTTGTAATGAGTTAATTCAGTACATCACTGGCGTAGTGGGTTTCTCAAAATTTCTCAAAACTGCTAAGGCTGTAAAATAATAGGAGTGTAATAAATCACAAAATTCATAATTTGGTTCAGTACAATGTTGTGGTGTCTCATATATATTTTTGGCTGAAAATGTGTCTTATGTTAAGGACACCTCAGAAATCAGATAGCTGACATTACTGCTGACAGCTGTATTTCCTATAGCAACTGTATCATTGTCTCTACATTACATACATTACATGGAATATTCAAACCACAGTGCTGGAACACTGATTTCCCGTTAGGGATTAATAAAATGTTATCTTAATTTAGACAGTAATAGAAAGAGTTTAAAGTCCTCATAGCACTAGGAAGAAACTTATTTCTGAAAAGGGATGTCTTAGTTTTTAAAAACCAGTAGCATCTCCCAGAGGAAAGGAGAGAAAAAGATGGAAAGCTGGATGAGAAGAATCAGAAATGATGTGCATGCTTAAGAATGTGCTGTATAAATACAGAATCGACTGAGGGGAGAAATGTTCCAATTATATTTAGAGCTTTAGAAACAATTCTTTGAAACTTATGCCAAGTTTGAATATCTGTATTTCTGCACCAGCCCATAATAGACAGGCTGAGAATGCTCTCAGAAACAGATGAACAGAACTGAATCAGAAGACAGCGTTTCAGGTTGTACTTCTTTAAATAACGTGGTTGGTATCGATTTTCAGTATTTAGTTCTCAGAAGTTTGAAAGAATCTGCTACAGATATTAGTTTAGTTTATTTTTTCTTTTTTCTTTTGTAATAATCTGTTAAATGTGTTAAGCTAAAGGTCATTCTCAGTACAGTAGGTGACCACGCAGTGACCAGTGTCCAAGAAGTTACTACATTCTTGTACTAGTATAAAAACAAGTTTAGTCTTTATATATTGCCAGTGCTACACATGCAGAACTATCTATGCTCTGCCCACAAATGTGTTCTTTTGTCTCTACTTTTGCATTGCAAAAATCACATTCAATCTAATAAGAAGAAGATTTTGTGTTACTAATATCAAATTATATTTATTTTTATGCATATGACAGGTCACACTGCTGGAACAGATTAGGTATTTTTAATGCAGTTAAGCTAACCTTAGCAA